CCTCTCTTCTGGATACGGCCACATTTGGAATCACATACCGCGAGTCTCCAGCAGGGCCCAACCATGTACTAAAAATGGACCCAAGTGGCTTTGCTGGTCGTTGGCGAGGTCCAGATAGGGCAGGGCCGTCCCGGTTACGACCAGTTATCTTCCCGCAGGCCTGTGACCAGATTGGTATTCGGAGTCGGCGCGGGTGAAAGTTCGGTCGCCGACCGTGCCCCGTTTTGGACGATTGAGTCACCTCCGTGCCGCGCGAGCTCGGCTGCAGACTGACTGTATCGGAGCAGCTGAGAGCGGACCGATATGGGTGCCCCAATGACGTAGATGACGTATGCAGGTGTTCCAGTTCTTGTTGCTGCGTAGACGATGCTGTGACGTAGGTGGATGACAGGTCTTTGGATTCGAGATTCATCGGAATGTGGAGCTCGAATGCCGTTTTAGACTGTGGCTAAGCGCAGTAAGAAATGATTTGACGCTGGTTTTCTACAAACGGGATCTTAGAATGCTGATATTTTCCTGTGGGCTGTAACGTCGACCATTTCAGGCTTCGTAGTCGTCAGGCATCGGCGCTTGTCGTCGTTTGTCTCACATGTGTGTTGAATCGATTGCCAACCGAGCGTCGACACTTAATGCTCCGTAGCTATGTGATTGGTCAGGGCCTGAAGGTCGGTGTCGAAGTGATCGTTGGCTTCATTTTAAGCCTAAAGGCGTGAAGTTAAGTGGGTTGATTGGTGACCGTCATAGCTGTTGTCCATGCAGGCGTTATCGGTACCGTCTGTTGACGTCGTGATTGGAAGTTGTTAACACCTCTGGGTGTTACATCACCGGAACAGTGAAATGACGTCACCAGTCCGTTCACTCGGCTAGGAAGTTATATGGAACTGTCTGGGAATTTTACCGGGGCAGTGTGGGAAGGACGTGGGAGCCTACCTTTCACATTATGACGCCTTACTTAACCATAGCCTGCCGTTAAACGCAATGAATGGCTGAGTTTGAACGACCATCACCATGGAATGTTTCGCAAATCTTTAGGGGCATTACATTACGACAATTTACAATGGTTACCTACAGTAGTAATTTATTGTTCAATGCCGATCAAAAGTTAATCACACAACCATCATGGATTTGTTTTCTCCAAATTACGATCCATCTATTTGTATTGATCACTGGCTAACTGACGTTAACCACGTAGATGAATGGACGAATCCATACAACGCAACCCGTAACCACACTAAACGCAGCTATTCACCAGATTTGCCGGCATGCTCACGCCCTCAGACGGAATAAATAGCCCATTGGTAGCGTGTTTCGTCTGTACCACTGCCTGAAGCGCCCACTGCCGCCGCTGTCAGTGAAAGTTTCCGGGCGGAGCCACGCAATCCCCGTGTTCGAAACACGGGAGGCGCACTCCGTAGCCTGGCTACCGCCGCTGGCACGGCGTGTGTCAGGACGGTCGCCTGTTCCTCGGCAGGACACGCGTGCTGGTTGGTCCGCATGTAACGATTGGTCGGGCTCCATATAGTGATGTGATTAGCAGAGATTGGTGCATGTAATTAGAGTGATGGAATTCGGTGCTTGTGAATGATCAATTGGAGGGATGTAGGTAGGTATTAAATTAATCAATGTCATGAAATAAAGTGGAGAAAATCGATCGATTCCCGCACATGATTGCATAAATCCCATTACGTGTAAGTGAGCGATATTGGAAATTGGAATTAAAGGAAGACTGCCGACCGTTCCGACATTGTCACCTGTTCAGCAATATCCATGTCCGTTCCACGTCATAGGGATACAGCGGGCAGTGGCTCCCAAGATTGTGGCCCCATCTATAGCGGTCTACCTGGGACGATCGAGGGATCCCTTCACTGCTGTTCTGTCTCCCGCAACTTGCAGGTTTGACAGCCCCGTCACAACACATGGCGTTTCATGCAGGCCGTCTCGTCACGGACCGCCGCGTCACGGTGAACCGTCACGCTGGGCGTGGTCTGGGCGGGGGCGGCGGCGGGGGCGGTGTCCCGACCCAGACCGGCGGGCGCCGTCCCGTTGCCCTATCGGGATCATTCTGGACCTCCTGACCGGCTGGCGCGACGGTGGAGGTCGCTGGCACGTGACACACCGGCCACACCTTATTTGGAAGAGCGCCGCAGCGACCCGGCCGGCCGGCCTGAGCCGGTGTCGTCAGGGGTGTCCGACCCGCCCCCGCGCTGACGCGGCAGGGGTGCTGGACCTGACTGACGCTCGGCTAGGGCCTAGGATCCTCTTTCACTGAAAAGCCGACAGGAGGTCGGGGTTTCAAAATATTGACATGTCGGAAATATGTATATAGGACGTAGCTATAAGCTTCAGAGGCCGATGATGCGCCCATAAAGTTTTTCGTCAGGTAGAGACCTAATAAAAATCCTTTTTATTCACTCTCATGGCATTCATAATACACTTTTATGGTGGTTGGTCTGCACTCTGCAGCATACCTATTGTATAGGGAATTACCAGGACGTTCCATCCTGCCTTGGTATCGACTGGAACGCGTGCATTGTCCTCAAATGGATCGAAAAGGGATTGACAAACAATGAACACGCGAGCAACTTCATACTTTTTCGATCGAGCTCTTTGTATGGACAACGGTCGTCTTGTGTCATGTTCAGACGTCACTTGAACGTGAAAAAACTCTGAAAAGTTAACGCTCCATTGCATCGATATTGCCTGCGACATGCAACGACCCGACCGGGCGCGTCTCAACAAATCGATCCAAATAAGTCCATCGGCAGCGAATCGGTCTCGAACCAGCGCCGCGGGCTGGCGTCAGACAGAGCTGCACGAGTGACCTGGATGCGGGTCCCTGTCCCCGGAAATCTCCGGCTATGCACGTCTCAGTGTGGATGGGTAAGCAGTTTCAACAACCGCGGCGCTGTGGAAAGCGGCCGGGGGTGTTTTTCTGGCTGCCGGCGTCACGCGAGAGCCGTGACCGCCGCGCCGCTGAGGGTCGCGTAATGGGAGGCCTGGAATCCGACCGGTACGGGGAACGCAGGAAAGCCGACCGCTGAGGCTGACCGCTGAGCTGAGCGGCCGGTTGTGGGTCGTCAGTTACGTCAGAAGCTGGTCTGCGGGTCTCTAGAGCCACCTCTATACTGGAAGGATGTCTTTGTGTTGCGGTTTTACGTAGAGTCATCGCGGACAGTGCTCAGCAGAGCGAGCAGTCGCCCTCGTCAGGCTCTTTTACTTCTCTAGTGTTTGAGTATGTGCGTTATGCACTGTACACTGAACTAAGCTTTAAGTGCCTTCTCAAATGCATACCGTTGCAGAGCTATTGCTGCATCTTTGCAGATGGCAGTAAGGGCGGATGTACTGCCGCCTACCGCCTGCTCCACCCTGTTTTTCCATCGTCCACCACCCTGTCGCTCCGCCCTTCGACGCTCAAAGATGTCCTCAGTCTAGCCAGCACCGTCCACCGTAACCACCGCCACCACTCCCACTGGAGACTCTGCAGTGACTGCTGACGGGGCCGCATTCCACGCATTCCTCGGCCGGCCCACCTCACGCGACGCACCGTGTCCCCGAGTCCTCCTCCCGGTATACCCTCCTGTGTGCTGCAGGGAGCGACACGTTCAGCTGTCACGGACATCGTCGTTAGTGAGGGAGGCTAGGTATCAGCGGGGTCTAATCTATAGGGGAGTGACATGACTTCCGCCCGTCGCAGAAGCTGGGGCTGGACGAGGGGCGGGGATAGAGTTCGCCAGTGGATTATAGCTACCTGTATTCGAAATGCACATAATATGCTGTTGCAACTGCTGTTGAAAGGGATGGGCTGGTTATTTGACGTTGATGCCGGATATGGAGCTACATCCGGGCACGTTTCAGCTCTGTAGTTCTGCACGGCAGGCGAAAAATAATTCAACGATTCGATTTAGAGCTGACTGGGATGCGCTTGGATGCGGATCGTCAGGCTGCATTTCTGCCGGATACAGCATACCTAACTATTGCGAGGAACAGTGAGCAAGGGTCCACTGCTCAGGTGCGACAGGGCTGTGACCAATCATGTGGTCAGTGCAGCTTGTTCAAGTAGCTCATCCTATCTGACCATTCCACCAGTCTTATCGTCCATGCCTGCACATGCGGGACACACCCTCCATACTGTAGACGAGCCAGGTATGCCGCACCCGCGCCGCATTCGTAGCCGGCTGATTCAGTAATCAGTCAGCGGCCAGGTGCTTATAAGGCGGCACCGTATACCGGCCAAATGAGATGCACCCTATCTGGACGGAAACCCTCCGATATTGGTGTGTACGAGTGGCCGGCTGACGGCGCGTAAGCACCTCCAAACAAGGCCGCGACGCTGGCCGTTCGCTCAGCCGTTGCACGCTGCACGTTGCACGTTGCACCCCGGGCTGAACGAGCTGAGACGTCGGGCGGGGTGGCTGATATATGGGAGGACGGCGGCCGAAGTATCCGCCGGCGTTGCTGGACCCCAGGGAGTGTGACCGCTGAATCTCAATGGTTTGCCGCCGAGGATTGAGGCAGAGGGTGGTCGGAGGGAGGGGCCAGCCTGTCTACAAATCTCTGTACGATGAGACGATGCACGTGACGGAGGTGCAGCAGTCGGTGGCGGGCAGGAGGAGGAGGGGGGGGGGGGGAGTAGGGTATGTATCGCCGGATGGGTGGGTCGGTGTAAACGATCATTCATTTGAGACTTCGTCTCCATGTCCCGACTCCCGACGTTTTTGACATTGGTGCGATTGAGGTGCTTGTGTATTATCGGCCTACGTCGATGTCAGACCTTAGAGAATACAAATGAACTTATTTTCTGGTGTCTATTTAAAGTTCTCTGTTTCGTTTTTTTATTTGATAAATACCTAAGCTTCGTTTTGTAAATGTCTCAACTCTCTGCAATGCTTTCTATTCAAGCCTTGTCTTCCGTGACTTCCACATTCGAAACGGTTTTCCCGACGTTTACAAGTGTCCCACAGCACAAGTATTAACATACGTCTGTTCTGTTCTGTTTTCAGCGGGAGAACATCGAGATGTTCCTGAAGGGCTGTGAAAGCTACGGCCTGAAGCCCCAAGACCTGTTCCAGGTCAACGACCTTTACGAGAACAAGAACCTCTACATGGTGAGTTCAGTGTGTTAACTATAGTTAGTGCGGTAGTCAGACGTTCACAGTGTGTTCACAGTCTGCGTGAACCCGGGACCTGACACGTTTATTCGAATGTATGTAATGTTAATGGAACTTCTGGTATCAATGATGGATCTGCAGTCTCTCACAGACCGAGACCAGACAACGTCCCGGGTCCTCAGCCTATCCACGCTTCCTCGTCTGTCCAGAACCCGTGCCGACCTTCCCCGACTCCATGTCAGAACATGGACTTCCCAGGTCTGTTTTCCAGGTACGAGTATGTCTCCGCTTTTCCAACTCCCTGTAACAGGGTCGCTCGCGTGCTGCCCAAATGCACTCGCTTCCATGCGGTACCGGAACGCGTGAGCGCGTGCTCTGACCCGACACGCTCCACCGACAGGCTACGGCCTACGGGGCTCACAGGCGGACCGGCCCTCGTGGTCATGGTGGCTAATTCGATCCAGCTACTTTCGATTTTTCACCTCCCAATGAGGGCGGCCCATGATGATGAGCTGAGCCCGAGGTGTAATTGGAGAGATAACATGTTTGGACGATGACTGATGACACGCAAGTGTTGGTTGGTTTCCCAAGAGCCGGGTAATGGTCAGTGCGAGCTGAAGATTCGAGTCATTACACGGATGGAACTGATAGAGTTGACACGAAACGTTGGATTATTTTGGCTCAGTTTTGTTGTCGGAAATTGGCATTGTTGACTTGTGGTTGGCAGGCTTATAGGAACACGACCCATGTGGCGACAGGGAACACCCAGGCCCGGGGCGGGACAGTGTCACATGGTCAACAGAGCGGACTAGAGGGGACACGGCGTCACACACGGCGGGCCCACCGGTCTGGGTCTGTTCCATGTCTGTGCCATTGCAATAGAGCATGGGGAACGGCGCGGTGGCACAGCTCAGTTCGGCATGGGACAGAACGATGCTGCATGCCACAGTACGATACGGCATAACGTGATACGGCAGGATAGTATAGGAAAAGACACCTTATGGTATAAAAAGACAGTCGCAGGCTGATAAACCATATGCAATTTCTGTGGAGTTGTAGACGCCTGTCCTCAGTCTAAACTCTACAACAGCATCGAAACATTGGAGGTCAGAGCTCTGTACTGCGCTCCTACACTCCTGCGGCTGCCGACTGCCCGTTTAGGGCCCCGGCCAGCAGCTGACGACATACCATCAGAGTCAGACACACGCTGCACGACCCGAGCCGGGTCCTAATGAGGTGATGTCAGCGACTCGCACCCCTCGGCGAACCGGGACACGGCGGCTGATACCCAGAGAGGGCTACTGATGGCTGTAATCGGACGGCGCATCGCCGCGGTCACAGTCCGCGAATGCAATTACAGCGCTGAATGACCGTCATGCCTCAGACCCGGCCATGGGAGACGGAATGGCGGTCGTTACGCTCTGCAAGGCATTGGGCTGCATTGGGCTGGGAGAGGCGGCTGAGGCGTGCAGAGGCGGCTGGTATGCCACTTTAAATCAGTGGTGCAAGGGCGGCGTAGGTGAGCTGTATTAGATACTGGGCGGAGCCTCCCATTGATGGCTCATGAGTCATGATACACGGTATCCTGGTGCACGTTATGAGTGAATATCAAAACGTCGGCCGCTAGCATGTTCAATTTCTAACCTGGAAAATGCACCATTTGAGAACAACGGGTCGTTTTCCGTTGCATGCAATACCTATATATCACAATTGGTAAAAATAAGGGGTTGCGGAGCCGGAGCCGGAACCGGAGCCGGAGCTGGAGCCGGAGCCGGAGCCGTAAAAAAAGGGGCGACTCCGGCTCCTTTTTTGAAGAAAAAAAATATTGACCTAGCTCGGTTTGACACTTCAAGGCAGTAAAACATGCGGTATTCAAAATATGAAAATGGCCTTGTTATGCATATATGTACAGAAGCAACGTGCACCAATCCCATCGTCTTTTTTCTTCCACCCGTATTTAATATTACAGAGGGGATGTACTGAGTATTGGAGCCGGAGCCAAAGCCGGAGCCGGACCATTTTACTCGGAGCCGGAGCCGGAGCCGATTTTTTTTCGGAGCCGGAGCCGGAGCCGGAGCCGTCTGAAATTTCCAGGGCTCCGCATCCCTGGTAAAAATTGTTGTTTCGGTAAAAAGGGTAAAGAAGTTGAGTTATATGCGATGAGAAGCCCGTTTTAGTCTGTCAGTAATAATAACAATGCCTGAATTTCTGACCAAAAGTCTCCCCAAACTGTCGCCTTGCACAGCCTGGCTTTCGATGCCCTTGTCCTACCTCACCAACAAAGACCACCCAAGGCCCTCTGACCACCGGAAACGGCTCGTGTTACCACGGCGCTGCGTGGTAACGCTGCTGCGTGGTAACACGAGCGTAGCTGCTGCGTGGTAACGCGCTGCGGCTGCGACTGGCTGCGACAGCTCGGCAGCTTAGCAACGACAGTTAGCGCGTTAGTGACGATTGTGACGACACATGTAGTGACTACTGACTAGTGATAGCGCTGGTGACCAAAGTGATAATGAATGTATAGGCAATAATAACCGAACACGGTAATATAGCAATGGAAACAGTGGTGCGAGGGTATTGACTAGAGGTGTCAATTTCAGAAATGTCTTGTCCGATGTCCGTCCAATGTCCAAAATCCTAGCTCACTTTTGTCCGAAAAATGTCCAAGGCATGGATTTGTCCGAAAACTGTCCGAAAGCTGGATATGGAAAGAGAGGATGGGGGAACTGATCTATATTAGGTATATGTTATTATGTACCACATGATAGCTAGATAACAGATATCCGCCATCTGGTTTTGAGAACAAAATATTGCCAACTAAAAATGTTGAAGCAATATCATATGGAGTAGGAAATGGGCATTTGGGCAAAAAGGCCTAATCTGATATACTACACAAACACAGCATATTGAGACAAGCCTATTCTGCTTCAAAATGTGCTACAGCCTACAACTGAAGCTGAGTAAGCAGGAATAATGCAAAACATTGCCTTATCCCTCAAACTTGCATTTTTCAAATATTGACTTCTTGCCGCATCCCTTTGACACTAAGCCACTTGATGATGAATTAATGCAGCAATAATGCAAGAAGCTAGTCACTTACAATAATGCATTCTTCATCTTATATCACACTGGCTGACATGTACATAATATAGTAGAACACTTCAACTTCTTGCAAAAGCAAAGTAGTTCTAGTTCATGGAAGAAGAAACTGCTCTTCACTGAGCCACACATCTCTGAATATCGAAACAAAATAAGCGATCACAAAAATAAAAATACTTGCTATGATTTAGCACAAATTCACTGAAATTCACAAGCAAAAAGAAGTTGTAATCCTTGGTAGAATGGAAAACACATTTCATGCTACCATTCTCGGTAGAATGGAACATGGTATCCGGCTTTGAGTCGGTGATGTAAAAGTAAATCAATAATATGACGTCATTATCAGATAATTTGTCCTATTGAAGTGCATTAACCATAAGTTGTTTTATTTTAATTTAATATGCATTGCAAAATATTTTAATTTGTTGAAAATTATTTGCTTGTTAAGCAGACTGACTGTATTTATTATCTTAAACGTCATTTTTTGTCTCCTCTGATTGTCATGCGGGGGCCATCTTTCCTTGGGTGACATTTATGACGTTCTCGCCGCATTTCATCATCTTTTGGTAACGTTTATTTGGATAGGCTATCGGCATACTTATTACTTTGTAGCATTGTATTCGATATTTTGGCACGGATATTTTTTGGGGGGAAGGGGTGGAAGGGGATGATTTATGATAGGAAGTTCTAGGTAAGACTCTTGTGCTTCTTGGCACACCTTGATATTTGCAATTTTTCAGCCTCTTTTCTGTTAACTTTAAAGTGAGGCAAATCTATTTTTGGGTTTCCTCCTTTACTGCTTTGGTGTCTAGTGCTTCCCACAGGTCAATGATTGTGCATCATATTCATACCTATTACCTGTGTTATCTAATGATGGACTTGCTGACAACAATGTCGCCTATTGGCTATTGCCATTCATAAACACATTTTCAAATTTAGGGTTAAAAGTTGGCACAGTATAGGTAGGTATATATTTGACTCAGAGCTACCTGCTACATGCAATTATGTTTATGTTCAACCTGCACTATAATTATGAATGATGTGTGAAGTGTGAACCACCTATCCCCTGCCAATTTTGATGACATGTTTTGCAATTTGCTTGATAATGGAAATAAGTTTGAACTTAAAGTTATTTAAGAAATTTGTAATTTTCAACTAGTTTTCCGAATATGTCCGATGTGTTTGTCACTTGTCCGTCCGATTTCCGAATCGGAATTCGGAAATTTTCGGAATTCCAAAATTTTCGGTTCCGATTGACACCTCTAGTATTGACCATGTTTAGCTCTCGTGCGGTGACTCACTTCTGCCATGGCTGCGGTATCAGTTACCGTACACCGTTTCAAAGCTTTTGGCGATCAATGACAACTCTAAGTTGTAATGATTGTTTAGCATTGTATTTAGCTATTTAACATTGTGCTGATTGTACTAATGTTGCCTGTTTTGGGCGTGTGCTTGCACCTATATACAATTACATATATCATTGCCCTGGTTCTTACTGTATAGCTATGATGAACCGATAAATCGTTGGTGAGTAAGTGCCTTTCGTGACGGTTTGTTCTCTCCTGTTTCAGGTGGTTGACTGCCTGTACGCCCTCGGAGGAGTGGTAAGTTAACAGAAAAAACAGCTTTCTTGGCCAGAGAGCGTTGGCCCCTTGCATTCCATCAATAGGTTAGAAAAGCCGAATGTGATATCCTGCACCACAGCACGATCATGAAGTGGCTTCAATGTGTAAGACAAAATATATAAATCCACATATCACAGCATTAGGCCGTCGGCCAAACATTCAGGCCTCACCCCCCTAAGTAAGTAATCGCAAGGTGCCGAAATAAGGTCGGCGCACGCACCAGCACACCATTTCCTCGTCCCATCTATGCCGAGACACGCCCTCACACCAGACTGCGTGCCACCTCCTCTCGTCTCGCCTCCCCATCCCGTCAAGGCTTTCCGTGGCGCCTCTCGCCGCACACGCTGACGCTACAGATATAATTTAGCACTCAGAACACCGATCACGAATTGAATATAGGTCAAATGAGCTGTCTGAGGCCAGTGGTGGCTGGTCAAATAGTACCCAGAGGGAGTCCATGTCCAGCATCCTCTAGACGGCCTTGAGATATGCCACAAACCCCGCTGGCTGTGATATAAAAGTGCCAACTAGAGAAGTAGAACCATCACAGGCACCTGCAACTCGCCGGTTTAGTTCGCTGTTGTGGTCGCCAATGCCATAGACTCGCCTCAGCTTGCCCTTAGGCGCTAGAACACCGACCTGACTGCATAATAATGCGGTTTCCGACGGCCAGTGTCTGGGCTGATGGCCATTAGCTCAGAAACACTCCGGACGCCGCAGAGGTCAGAGGTCGCTCACCAGGCCGTTACATGTGTTACACCTGGACGGTAATGTGGGCGTGAGACGGCCGGCTTTGAGCACCGCTACTCCGTCCGTGGTCCAGATACGTCACGTGTTTTCACTGTGCTTATGCTTCATGGTAAAAAGTTATCCGAAATAGTGGGCAATGCTTCACTTGCTCAGTTAGTGTGAACTGTGAAGCTGTGCGGCGACTTGCACTGAATTTTTCACTGATGAACACGATTCCGTCACCTTTAAATGGTGTAATGTGAATATTAAGCACCATGTGAGGGGATGATAACGTTTCTCAATTTGCATTCCATCACCATCACCTCCCCACACATTTGAAGCTTTCGCGATCAAATTTTCCGTAACGGTGTAGGCATGCATTAATGCTCTTTCCGTGCACATGACCAATGACTTTTGCATGTAATATGAGCCACAACCTCCCAGCTGGACCGTCTACCCTAAACCCGTTCTGTGCAAATCATGGTCGTTAATTATTTGTCTGGCATCACTAATTGCGTGTCATTCTCCGTTTCAGGCGCAAAAGAAGGGCTTCAACGGCCCGGCGCTGGGCGTCAAGGTAGCGGATGAGAACAAGAGGCACTTCAGCGAAGATGTATTGAGGAAGGGCGAGCAGGTGATTGGCCTGCAGTACGGCAGCAACCAGGGCGCCAACCAGTCCGGCATGACCGCCTACGGCGCCGGCCGGCAGATCCTGCCCAACGGCCGGTAGACGCCGGCCGGCCGCCCACAGGCGGCGCCACCGTCGCTGGTGTAGGTGGCGCCACCGGCCGCGGCGGCACCGCCAGTGCCGGCGGAGTGCAGTTCTGACCATTCAGTGCGGCGGCGGTGTGTGATCGTTTTCTGCGGAGAGGGTACATTCCGGCCGGGTTGGAAGTGTTTTAGAGCGCGGCGGCGGAGCGGAGCGGGCGCCGTAACGCCGCCGACCGACGCTGAGACGACGTTCATCGGGAGCGAAGCTCCACAAACTACAAATGTGCGAGAATATTGTATGCCATAGGTATAAGAGCGCTCATATGAAGAACCTTACGTTTTGACGAAATTTTATACCATTGTCAGCTGGCACAAGTAGGCTGTAATCGTGTGTGTTATTTCGACGTGGTGTCTTTTTTCAATGTCCGTGACGCCTACGGCCCAGCTGCGGTACACGAACGAGAGCTATCGGCGAGTTCATCATTATCGCGCGCGCGAGAATCGTGGTAAATAAATGGAGATGACGTTTGTGACGGTAATATGTAATATCAAGAAACGGGGCGCGAGACACCATCCCTTTCCATTCCCCCCACCTTGCCCGACGCCACACTCGTCTGTTCGAGTTCGACATCTATTCAGTTGTCGCAAGGTGTCGCTTCAGTCCGGACTACGCCAGACCCTCCCTTTAAACTGAGCCAACATCAAAATACATGACTTTGTTCTGATGATGATGGTCGGCAGCAAAAGGCCTAGTGGATTCGTTGTCCCTATTGGTTTGCACGCCAGCTCAAACGACACTAATCTGTTTTATATATATATATATATATATATATATATATATATATATATATATATATATATATATATATATATATATATATATATATATATATATATATATATATATATATATCTTCATTACGTCACAACAAACGCCTGTAAGCGTCCAACAGCTCCGTAGAAAATTGAAAGCCAGTTAAATGGCATCAGGAACATTCAGTGTTCCAGCCTTCATAATACTACACTGGTCAGCGCTATTCAACATCACTCACATTTCACATGACGATCTAAGTACCCAGATCTCATTTCAACGCGTCATCACGATACATTGGGGACAGCTAACAACGCTGCTCTATAACCAACTGTTCGCATACACCAGATCAGGGACTGGCCAATGGAACAACGCTATCACCACTCAGGCTCTGTTGTCGATAAATGATTCACTCGTGGCCGTACACATTCAACAGTCTAGCAATGAAGACCAAGCTGGCGCGGGCGTTGAAATGGCGCACCAACTTTACGGGTAAGGCGAGCATGGATTAAAGTATGGTGAACGAACTACTTAGTCAATAATGAATAATACAAGTTCAGATACAGAGATGTGCTGGTTATCTCGGAAGCCAAAAGAATGGCGACATTATCTCAACCATAACCAAACACTCCTTTGATGATGATGATATGGGGATTTAGGGCGCCCGGACTGCGGTGGTCATCGGCGCCCATAACATCGATATCAGAAAATGGTCAGGCCAAACAATGTTAAAGCAGGGGAGGAGGGGCTTGAAGATATCCTCAAATCAGTACCCTTGAACTGCGAAAAGTGGATCGAAAAAGTTCACCATTTGGTTATGCCAAGCTGTAACACACTTTCACGAAACACAACGCAGCAAACAACCAGTACCAGCTGATAAGGTCAAGCAGCAGATATACCAACTCAGCCTCAATCAGAAACACACTCCCGCCCCACCAGTCCCCACCGGGGTATCAAACCCACCCCGATCCCACCACCCGCGTCCCGTTGAGCACAAAGGCACCCCTTCCCCACCTGATCACTATAGCACCACCACCGCCCCACCGGGCCCCAAAAACACCGGCCAGCGGCGGGGCGGCGGTGGCGTTCCCATGACGAGCTGCTTTTCTACAATCTGACCGGGTGAACAGGGAGGTGACCTGCCTCTGAAGCTCCTGCAGGAGTCAGTGAGGAGTCGGCACGTGACCGTCCACGTAGAAGTTCCGTGTGGCCGCCGGTAGGGTGAACTCTGCACCCTCCAGGTCTTTGGTTAGGATGATCTGACAGCCTGAGAAACAGAGACGGGTGAGGGGTCAAATATGGGACGAACTGACCCTTTGGTAGCCCTGATGAAATGCAATGCAAACTAGTTACCTGCTTTAGATCAAGAGGGTATCCATTCGCGTTAAAATTACAACATGAAAACAAACAACGTGAAAAAAAACTAAACATCGGAAAACACATACGAGCCTCGTAGTCACTCATGGTGCCTCGTAAGCTACGAGACACCAGTGAACCTAAGACGATCCTTTTAAAATGAAAAGTGATTGCTATAATGCACCCCCTTATCAGGCTGAATGACTCATGTCATCGCAAGTCAGCTCTGTGACTTCTGAACCTAATGTGTCCAGTCAGCGTCCACTGACCGAGTCGGGAGTTGTCCTTGAGGAAGACGGCCATATCCAGCATGTCCTCCTCCTCCTCGACCGGCTCCGGCAGCCGATCCGTGTAGTCGGGGTGCACGTACACGTGACACGTGGAGCACGCCAGGCTCGCCTCGCACGCTCCTTCCAGCTCTATGCCGTATCTGTGCGACAGATACATGAGGTTGTCCCCGATCTTCCCTCGGACAGGGACACGACTGCCATCTCGGTTGATAAACGTGACGTTGACTCTGAAAAGAATCACAAGCTTGTTATTCATACATGACAACTCATAGAGTAGGTACACAAAGTTTGCAGAGAGGGTTGAAGTAGCAGAGAAAGATAAGTGTCAAAAGTAGGAAGATACAAGCGACCATGCTGGATCACTAAATTACACTGACATCAATTCATCTAATCCAGATGATGATATGATAGCTATAATAATAACCTTGCCTAATTTTGTGCAATGTTGATTTTGAAGACAAAGAAATCAAATACCTAAGCTTACTTCTAATCAGGACTATGTAACATGATTTTAAATACAAAATGCCATCACTTATATACTTATACTTACACTTCATCCTCAGATTTGGGATCCTGCCATTCATAGTCACCATGCTGCTTCACTGAAATAGGGAAAACAGCTCAGTAATTGTGTCACTCACAATGAAGGCATACCCATCCCATCCATAACCATCCTATAAAAGGTGTAGAATCTTTCAAATATTTAAATACACCTGTCTCCTTATGTTCACATGACATGGAGTATGAACTTAGGCAACTCAGACTGTCAACCTAATTGAAAAATAGCCTAGCTTTTAATACAGGTTATTAGGCTAGGAGCATCCTATGAGGATCCGCTCCCTATCATGCCTCTTTCCTATCTACTATGGTGAGCACTGAGCACACTCCAAAACAAGTTGTTTGCTAATAAGCCCAGATAACAACAAGCAGGGAGTCTCAAAAACAGAAATCACAGGGTTTCATCTAAGGGAAGATATGAATAATGGGTTATCAGTGGACACATGTAAATATACACTTTGACTAAGCATTAGACATTAGAGAAAATCAAGGGCTGGTCAATACATGTCTCCTGGTGAATCTGTATTTGTAATAATCAGTGTCCCAAAATTTGCCAGTTTGGGTGGGAAGCGACACCCAAATCAAAATAATTTTCCACTCTCACCTCCAATTTTCCAGAGCGATTTTTCACTCCCCTGTTTTACCAATCAGGAGCATCTGCGTGTACCTTTTACCTCTCTATATTTTATTGAATCATCCTATAACGCAGCTCCCGCACCCTCCCCAACATTCACAAATAAATTGTTGATCTCTGTTTTCCGCTCCTTTTGTGCCTTCCTGACTGGCAATTTTCCACTCTCAGCCCTCTTTGTAGTGACGAATACTCCCCTCCGACACCCAATCCAAAATATATTTTTGGGACACTGATTTGTATGGCAATAATGTATTGGTAACAGAAACGTTGGATATGTTAAAAAATTACCAAGTGAGAATATACTCTGTCTGTAATCAGTACAAGCCTTTACAATTACTCATCGTGACACAATGCAGACAACTTTTCACAAACTGTTTATTTTTAACTCGGAAATCATCTTGAGAGTATTTAAATTAGGTTACATTCCTCTTACTGCACATCATATCCCTCCAAAAACACTGAAAGACATTTGACACAGCTTTAAAAAGCAGTTGTCATAAAGAAATATAGCATGAAATGGAATAAAACATAAACTGAGCTTCAGCTTCTACAATTCATTTGTTACAATGGCTGCGCAGTAGTGACAAAACAATGCCTTACCTGCGGTCCAATGGAATGATCTTAGAGGCTGGTGAGTAGAAAATAAAGCATTGTTCTTCCAACATTTCCTGTCGATAGTTCTTTTAAGACCATTAAACGTACAATATGATATCTTAAGCGTCCTACACATGCCAATAACTCTGCTCCTCACACACACCGCCATGTTGTCAAGCCTTAATAAATTGTATCCACCAAGTATCCACTTTCCGATAACAAGTTTCGACAAAAATGACGTCATAAGATATTTAATATTGCGTCACAGTTCCCTGCAATGTACTGAACCTGATATCGTGTGGATTTGGTGGATTTGGTGTGAAGTGAACCGTGTGAATGACAGTGAAGAACAAAGTGGAGACTGGAGAAGGCAACTTGTGGACTTTTCTCCTGCATTTATTTTTGGCACATAACTTTTAAGAGGGTCCAGGGGCCGTATTCACGTCGATTATTTTCGTAAGAATTTCCTTACGAATGAACTACTTCTAAAGCATTTTTTTTTTTAATCACGTGAGCTCCGTCGATCGCCCGTATTGGTGTTTTTCCAGCCGCGAACGTATAAGGGGGGGGGGGGGTCCGTTGGACCCCCCCTTGCCGTTTCGCCCCTGATTGAGCTAGAGCTTTGCGGAAAAAACGAGCGTGTTGCCCGTGGCAAGAGGAAGCCGATGATACCTAATTTTAGGGTCCTAGGTCATTGGTTGACCTCGCAGGTCAGGTCAATGACCCAAAAGTCGGCAAAATTGGGACCTGTTAGAACGTCGTCAAGTGTGGCTGCTATGGGGTTTTTCGGGGTGCTAATCACGAATATCATATTAGTTTTGATCACAGACGATGTCTTCATGCATTTAGTCCAGGTCGGGTCAGGTCAGGTCAGGTCAACCAGTAGGGGTCCTGCCGGGTATTCCTAGTAGGTGTCAACCGCCTCTGACAGCTTCGTAACATGTTACGAAGGCACCACTACTTCGTAAATGTTCATATGGTTGCTAAACTCGAATTCAGCTCCAAAAACTAGCCGAGAAACATGTAAAGGTCGAAAAAGTGAACCGACGTCATCAAAGGTCAATGGCCTGACCTGACCTTCAGGTGGCCTTGACACCCACCCTAATGCATGGGGGCAACATCATATCACATGTTTGAACGCTTGAAACTTCGAAAAGACTGCAAAGGCGCGGCTAATGCGAGCCGACATACGCCGAATCGCGATTCCGGCCAAACATGGTCTCGAAAAGTAGGTCACAGGTCAAAGGTCATTGGGGTCAGGGTCATGAAATTTTCAGGGTAGGTGTAA